AGCAGTCAGGCCTTCCATCCATCCACCCACGTGTGTCAGTCTTAGGAGGTGCTTAGTTATCTTGGCCAAGTGCCATTCTCCTGGAGCTGTACTGTACTGTCACTTGAAAAACCATCCCCATCTCAGCATGCTTGCCATTCTGTGCAGTTCCTTCTGTCACCCCCTTTTAGCCCCTGACACTACCACTAGAGCCCCTAGGACCTCGGTGCCAGCTGCTGCTGCTTCTGCTGTGCAGGGTCAGGCGAGCCCAGAACAAGCCAAAGTCATTTGCGGCTACAATTTCTATTTTGATTCTGTGTCCAGGAAGATATGGCTTAGGCAATGAGTGTTTAATGGTTTTCAGATTGACTATTTTCTAAATCAGGTAGGCGGGCAGTCAGTTTACTTTTCTGATCTAAATGATTTTGTGTTTAGAAACCATGTTCGTGGCAGAGAAATGCCCCATGAGCCTTGTAACTAGCCAGAGGGAAAGTCAGTTCTGATGAGCATGGTGGGATGGATTTGGGGTCTCTGTTTCCTGCGTTTCCACAGTGCAGAGGGACAGAGAAGCAGAGGGACAGGCTTGTTGGGGTACCCCACCCTGAGGGTTCAGGGTCTTGAACAGGCTTGTTGGGTTCCCCCCTCACTGAGCACCTTGGACCTTGGCCACAAGCCTAGACCTGGAAAGGCTGGGAGGAGATTTCTGGGCCAGGCCACTGGGCCTCCTGAACGCTGCTGAATACTGCACTTGTGCTTACTGTACCTGAGAGAGTCCTGACCTCCTCCCCTATAGAAGGGAAAGATTTTCACAGGCACTGGCCTGGACTCTAGGAGACAGAGGGCACACTGGGGGGTCGTCATCCCAGAATATGACTGTGAGGGAACAGTCGTGGGCTGGACACTGCTCTGACCTAAGTGCATGCTGTGTTGGGGCTACTGGACAGGGGAGTTTTTTCCATTTATAGCCATAAGCAGACACCACAGCAGACTGCCATTGGATACCTATAAATTTAAGCATTGTCCTCAGGAGGAACTGCCTCTGTAAATCAATCAAGAATTGAGCTCAGTAACATGTTTGTCCTGTCGCCATGGTGTAATTTGGTTAGTGGGTTTGCTTGTTTCAGCTGAAATTCGAAGCTTCCATTAGGTGACTAACAATGGCCAGATGGACTTCCTGTGTATCATTTAAATCCCAGCCACCCCCACCCCACCCCACCCCACCCCACCCCACCCCACCCCACCCCTGCCCCTTTGCTAACTTCTCTAGCTAGACTGGGCAACTGGTGGCTGACTAGTGAAGACGGACTGTGGAGATACGGGCCTTGTGAATGTGTCAGTCTTTGGTTGAATTGTAGCTCCCGTGCATATGGTCCCTCCTGGGGCAGCAAGATTGTCAACTCCTGTGCTTTCGGAGCAGCTGTAAGGATCCTCGCTGTCCCTCCACCTACCCTCTAACTGCTGGCCTCCTTTCCTCTTTGCTTTGTATGATGAACAGGGTGCGGGCAGTCCCAGTGTTCTCCAGTGGAATGTTCTTAAGTGACTTTCACTGGACTGAGCATCTTCGACCTTCGACATGCCTTTACTTTTCATAACTGATGATGACTGGATCTCTCTCTCTCTCTCTCTCTCTCACACACACACACACACACACACACACACACACACACACACACACACACACATCAGTCTCTTCATACAGAAGCCCGAGGGTGGTCTCTGGGCTTGTGAGAGAGTAGACCCTGTGGTCAGCTGACTTCTCTAAGAGATGCCTTGAGATAGTGCTTATGTTGTGAGACGGAGATGACACAACCCCAGGCTATGAGCACAGTGCACACACACACACACACACACACACACAGCTGCCCTGTGGTCAGGGCACGGGGTGAATCTGGTGTGTGTCTATCAGAGGCCTGTGTGGTACCAAAGCCATCACTGTCCCTGGACAGCTGCCCTTTGTGGTCTGCAAGGTCTCCCTACAGATCACAGCCCTGGGAGTGAAGCGGAGGTCATCTTCCAGCCTGGACTTCCCTCCCAGAAGAGACAGACCTAGTAGGTGTTCCAGGGACTCCACACCCACTTTCAGGATGGCCGCTACTCATGATTGTTCTGGAGTGTAGAGAGGCTTGTGCGTAGAGCACCAGCCCTGTGCCTGTACGACCGGGGTCAAGGGGCCTCTTCAGTCCTGCTTGAGTGATACCCCTTGGTGCCGGGAATACTCAAGTTCCGAGTGACCTCGGGCTTGAGGCCAGAGGAAGAGAATGGGAAGTGCTGCTTTGCTCTCACACAGCAGGCCAAGTGAGGATGGGTGAGAAGTCGGCTTTCTATTATTCACCCCTCAAACAAAGCGAGCTGTGCGTCCCTTTTCTGTAGGAGCTCATTGAGATGGCGACTAGCTGTGGATTTGAGAGTTTCGCTTGTGTCTTTCTCTGAGCAGGGGTAGTTTGCTCAATCTGATGGAAACACAGTCTCCCGTCTTCTACAGACCCACTAGAAGGGATTTTCCATGATCTGTGTGGAGACTCCAGTCACCCGTGGATGAGCTGTCCCCTGAAAGCCAGCTCAACACCTGCCCAGACCACGGAGCCCTCTCAGAGAGCCTGCTGAGCGGATGCTCACCCTCTAGCAGCCCTGCCATTGGTCTTTGGTGTGTGGTCAGTCCACAGTTATCAGAGAAGCACATTGCAGCGCAGGTGGGAAGAGGATCCCAGAGACTTTGCGAGGGATGGAGTGTGGGCTGGGTCCAGCTAAAGCTGCGGAGTTCCATCAAGAGGGGGGCACAGGAGCATGATGGCATGTAACTGAGACTGGTAAGGGAGGTGACAAATTCTGTGTTTTTAAAAACCCCCTTCCAGTTTCTTTGAATGGTGGCAGGATGATGCCTTCCTGTTACAGTGGCCTTATCTTTGGTGTATTCTGGAACATTCCCTGTCCTCCTTGTGTGAGCTACACCAGTAGGGTCCTCTGTGCTTTACGAGAGTCACATGATGGAGGTTAGGGCACAGACAGTGGGTGTCTATCCTTGACCGTGCCCTTTAGGCACATTAGGTCTTCCATGTTTACATGCTCTTCTGCTTCCTCATCCGCTTCCCACAGTGAAGAGGCACCAATGACAAATGACTACCTGGGAAAATCTGTATTTTCATTTTTTAAAAACTTAATCTGGCACCAATATATCAAAGATGTTAATCTGGGTGGTTATTTCTGTACTCGAGAGTTCTGTGTTTGAGTTGTTTAATTTTTGTTTATTTGTTCATTTGTTCATTTGTTTGTTTGTTTTTCAAGACAGGGTTTCTCTGTGTAGCCCTGGGTGTCCTGGAACTCACCCTGTAGACCAGGCTGGCCTCAAACTCGGAAATCCACCTGCCTCCGCCTCCCAAGTGCTGGGATTAAAGGCATGCGCCACCACCGCCCAGCGAGTTGTTTCATAATCTTTCTCTCCCACAATCTTGAGTGGAGTGCAGACTGTCGCTAGGAACAGTGACGGTGGGCAAGTCTTGGCAGGGCCTCATCTCATTGCCTCTGCTGTACTGGGCAAAGGCAGTTAAGGCTGACCCAGTGACATCTGTTGGGTCCCTTCAGTAAGTGGACGCGCTCCCTAGGCAGCTGCAGGCAGCCTGTGGGTTCCCAGTGCTTACTCATTGGGCCCTGAAGTGCTGGCTGGTCTCTGTGGGCGCAGGCACTGCATCCACAGCCGCCGCCTCCTATTGCAGGGCTCTTGCCTGGTTCACAGTGATTTGTGTCAGTGTCTTCCTTCCACCTTGTCACCTCCCTGCCAACCTATTAGTCCCCTCTGTCTGTTCCCATGCTGCTCATGAGGAAGCCTGGATCCGTTTATCCATGGAAGTTCTGTCTGCCTCACTTGCCTCAGATTTATTGATCTGTTCTTTTTAGTACTTTATTAATTAGTCATGTGAACAAGGTCCTGTGGCTGGTCTAGACTTCAGTTGTTTCTAATAGGTATCCATTTTTTTCTGGTGGCCCCGAACCCCAACAGCAGTCTTGTACCTTCAAGGTACAAGACTACTAACACTCTTGCTGTGATCTGAGCCTCTGGTGGTCAGCCTGATTTGTCATCTTTCAGAGACAAATGCTTATGGGTTTTATTTTTAAAAATCTCAGGCAGTCAAATGATTCCTAGGAGCAGCTCTGACTCCTGGCCTTGGTCAGGAAGAGCAGGAATTAATATTTAACTGCCTGTGTTAGCACACTGAAAGCAGAGCCTGGCCTTCAGTATCTTGGCCCATGCTTCCCTGCGGTTAACCCTTCCCTGGAGAGCTCCCTACAGCTCAGCCCAGAGCCTTCCCCAGCCAGGAAGCGTGCATGTGCCTGGCTCCCAGGGATGTGGCTGCAGTGTGAGCTGTTCACTCAGACTGCTGTGCAAGCAAAGCTGGTTCCTACTGAGGAAAAGTACAGGCGCAGGCATGCACAGAGGCAGAACGGAATACCCACTACAGAGTCTATGCCATGCATGCATCTCATAGCATAGCATACTGGGGGACAACTGGGAAGGGCTTGATGACCCCAGCTAGCAGGTACCTGAGTACTAACGGACTAGAGAGAGCCGGGAAGGAAGTGGCTGGAGCAGGTGCACAGGTGCTGGGTTGCTCGGCCATACCTCTACTAGCCTGGAGCTCAAGAGTTTCCCAAGCAGCAAAGGTCACCCAGGAGTGAGGTGCGTTCCAGGCCCCCTAATCTTCTGGACCCAGCACCTGACCATGTATTTTGTGTCCTTTCTATAGTTTGAAATGCACAATCCCCCTGCCTCATGCTGTGTTTGCCTGGGGAATTGGCTACATAACTGAAGCCCTTCCTCCCCTGTAGGGCTAAGCCAGTCATGTCTGGCTGTGGTAGGGAACCTGGGAACCCCATGTGACCCTCATCAGAATGTCGTTGGGCACAGAGCAGGATGGGACTATGCCTCCGTATCAGCAGGATGGTCTCTGTTTCAGCCTGATAGCACTGCGGGGAAGATCGTCACTCCAGGCTTCAGGCACATGCTGACGGTACTCTTCTGTCCACAGTGTGCAGGAGAAGAGAACTGGGTGGACAGCCGGACCATCTACGTGGGACACAAGGAGCCCCCTCCGGGTGCAGAGGCCTACATTCCACAAAGATACCCCGACAATAGAATCGTCTCCTCCAAGGTAGCCTCACTGTCTGCTCTGAGCTGCTGCCTGAGAAAGGCTGTTGTGACTCCACTTGATTAGAGACCAGTGCTGTCCTAGTGTTTCTGTGGGATAGTCATGCACAGACATGTGGGCTGGATCCATTTTAAGTGAATAATGGTGGAAGCTTTGGGACCTGACAAACAGGAGAGTACCCAGTTCTTCTCAGTGTGTCCCATTGACTTGGGACAACATGTAGAATAGGTGGGACTTCTGTGAGCCATCCTCGTGCCAGCAACAAAGCCAGAGATTGGCACACCCATGGGAGACTGTATAAACTTGAAACTCGCATGCCAATGGGGAATCCGCTGTTCCGTGTGAACACAGAGAGGCCAGTGAACACCTCAGGTCAGTGTAAACACAGAGAAGCCATTGGTTCAATGTGAACACAGGCCAGAAGGAACCTTCTGCTCAGTGTGAACACAGATAGGCCAGTGAACACCCTCAGGTCAGTGTGAACACAAAGAAGCCATTGGTTCGGTGTGAACACAAAGACCAGCAGGCATACTCTGCTCAGTGTGAACACACAGTCCAGCAGGCATACTCTGCTCAGTGTGAACACACAGTCCAGCAG